GTCAAAGTTTAAATTAGTAAATAGTTAATTAGTAAATAAAAAATATTTTATAATTATTTACCATTAGTAAAAAAATTAGTAAATTAGTAAATAAAGTTTATGTCCAGTCTGTAGGCCTTTCTTGCAAAAAGTTCCTCGATTTTAAGTTAAAATTTCTTATGGTTTTGGATAGGTTAGGGATATTAATTTATGTACCTAATAATAGATTCCTGACAAGAATTAATTGATTGTGTAAGATTTATTGAAAGATGTAAAAGTTCGTGTGATTGATTCTTATTCTTCGACAAGAATGGTGCCTAGGTCAGGGACGTTATCGTCGCACTAGGAGGAACTGTCTGCACGGAAGAGACCCTAAATGGGTTTTATTGCGTAATAAATTGATGGAGCGATCGATAACTATACGCGTCCCGTACTTCGGCGTTTGACACCGACGCCCATTATATCGGCCATGGGCACGAATTTCGATGGGAATAATCTTGTTCTCGCGGGAATATGACTTTCAGCCTATTACCGGCTATCTACACTCCATTGCGAACGAACAACAATGGAATTTCGTTCCTTACCTTTTCACAATCCAGAAAATGGTACTTCGGATAAAAATTGAATATCAAAATTAATTCCTGATGAAAATTAGACCATGTGCATAGATTTCGACATTTGATGATCGATTTTATTATACTGGGTGACATTTTATAACTACTAACAAGTTTCATAATGGTACAGTAATGTGTCATTTATTGGGTTCTCAAAAGGGCACTTTGGATAAAAATTTAATATGAAATTAATTCCTGATGAAGATTAGGCCATGTATATGGATTTCCATGTTGTCTAGGGATTTTATGACACAACGATGTGCCATTATTTGATTTCTCTGAGGGATATTTTGGATGAAATTTTGATACAAAGCTAGTCCTCGATGGGGATTAGACCATATCTATGGATGGTTACATGTGATGATTGATTTTGTCCTACTAATTGTCAGTGACATTTGCGAATGATGTATTGACGTCTGCCAATAGCACAGTATTTGTGGAAGAATGATTGATGGACATATTTTTTGGTTAGGAGAATCCGCTGGATCCTATAATTTAATTATTTATATATTTTTTTTTTTAAGATTTGAAAGCTATTCGAAATCTGGAACATTTTGTTATTGTTTTTGAGATTCCATTTTCTACTACCGTTTTAAATTTATATTTGTTTTATTCGAACCATTTTTTGAAAATTTGAACAACCTGAATAGATAGAGAATTTTTAATAGAAGACATTAATAATTTGCTCCATTTTATTTTATTTTCTTTTTTGCTATATTGTTTGATAATTCATGATTATATCCTAAGAACACCATATAAAAAAGTGCATGGCAATCAACGTGTTAACATTCGTTTCCACAACGAAACATAAATTTTAACGTATCATACAAAATTAGTAAAACGGTAATAGTATCAAAAGATCTATCACTGATGTAGTTGAAACATGCCCATATAATTTCACAGAACAGTGAAACAGAAATTGAATAAGAGATGTCAATTTATAGCTACCCACATGAGCAACACTTTACATTTTATATTACCAATAAATAAAATAACAGAATGATTAAAATCTTTTAAATACACGTCGCGTGTTTCTCCTAAATCCATCTCGCTTCCTCGGTGATGTTTAGTTTGGATGCCTATACTGCTTGTCATAAGGTCATAAACACGAGTCATCTCGCGGCGCGATACCGTTCATGCTACGCTACAGACGAATGTAAACACGTGCTGCTGGTTTTGCTCCGCCTGCGGTCACTTAACTTTCTCCTGTGTTATGCCAATCAGTTCCTATTTAGCTGCTCACGGGAGCAGACCACGACGTCACGAATAAGAAACCGTATTATAAGCGAGAGTGACAGTGATAACGATAGTAATCGTAATAACTGAAGCGACGACGACGTTCCACTATCCGAAAGGTAGGAAAATTTTGTAAATCAAAGAAAGTGGAACATTACTATGAACTACCACTCTGAATTTTTGAAACAACAAGTTTTTAGTTATACTAAAATTTAATTTAGTTATTAATATATAATTTAGTTACACCATATAGCGATGTACTATACGAATCGGGTTCATTAGAGTATAGTTGTTCTTCCTCTCCTTTTCTTCCTACTATATCCCTGTGGTGGGTTGAGTACCATCATTATATCCCTGTCAGATGATAGTGTGTAAACTATAGTCGAGTATTTTCCATTCGTTTCCTTCTTAACATTCCAACGGTCACACCAGACTAGCATGAAGCATAGTCATTGTCCTCGGGATAGCATTAGCTAGCTATCGTCAATGTTATTTCAAGGATTAGCCTGGCAGTTAGTTTTCGAGCCAGGCTTCCTCACTTCCTATTTTATGACCCTTTTCGTCACTTATACGAGTCCTCTACTCATGCAAGGAGAATATATCGCAAGACTCATGATAAGGAAATCGAACGAAGCATGACGTAGTGGGGGGTATGGTTTGTGGATAGGGTCCAACGTAAACATCGACAAGCTGGTGGTTCATTTCGCAGATGTTTTTCTGGCTCAGTTGCGTATTATTCTTCGTCACGTTAGTACGAGACGTGACTGATTATCCTGTTCACTGTTCCACATGCCACGTACCATTGGAACTTTGACAGTTTTCGAAGGAGAATTTGGTTAGTAATATTTATTTTACATTCTTATAATTATTTCACTGTTCTAAGAAAAATTTATAGTGGATTTTAGAGTGGCCCATGACCAATATTAGAGGAATCAGTTTGTAGGTTTTCGTTGGACACAGAGAAGACATCTGCTCATTCATTTTGTCGAGGAAACTGGTAATTTACATAGCTAGAAAAATAGTAATTTAGTCCTGTTTGTGCACGGTTCAATGATTATTTTCATTAGTCAGGCACGTGGTTAATTTTCGTCGGTGTCTTTATGCTTTAGTTACAAATGCTATTCTCGAAATGGCTGAATGTTTACGTTGCTGTTGATTATGGCACGCGCCATTGGAACTTAAATCGTAGAGTAAGAGGTTAGAGCTCTTAATCTAATAACGAAGAACGCGAGTGAGACGGGGCTCTTGCACGTCTAAGAGTGGTTAACCCTAATTGCGTCGTAGTCTATGCGGTATGTAAACAACCTTTACTCTGGGGTCTTTGACTGTGAGCCGACTTGGTTTGATCGAAGAGAGAGGGAGCGAGAAAATTGGTAGGGGGAAGGACGAAAGGAGTGAGGGAAGGGAGGGGTGCGTTTCGACCTAGGCCCGCTAGTGGAATCTTTAGTAAGGCTATAAGGCACTAGCAGGCTGGTGTTTTTTTCTTTTCTGTAATGTACGTTCAATGCGCCAATAAATTACAACAATATATACAATGTAAACAAAAATTGAAACGTGTAAGGATTAATTTTAAGCGTGATAGTGCAATGAAATATCGATGACTCTTGAGCAAAGTACTCTAGAGGTACTCTACTTCTATCAGTCTCCTATTAGTTTTCTATGCTCTTCTAGGTACTCTTCTATTAGTGGAGTACTCTACAGGCTTAAGTTCTACCGCGTTTATGGTTTCCTCTTAACGTTAAAATTATCAATGCAGTTAAAAGGATTGGTCTCAGAATTTTCTTTACTGTAATTACTGAAAACATATACCTGCTTTTAATCTGCAAGTGGTGACCATTATTTTCATAGTACTAGTGGTAACGTGACATCAGATTGACTCTCTGTCAATAGTGGTGACTTGACGTCAAATTGTCTAGCTGTCAATAATGGTGATTTAAATTCAAATTGACCCTGTATTGCTAATAGTGGCATGGCGTCAATTTGACGTATCCTTAGATACTTAGAGCTTGTAAGTATACCATTAGATACCTAAGTAGATCTCACTATTGACAACACGGAGTCAATTTGATGTCAAGTCACTGCTATTCATAGGGAGTCAATTTGACTTCAAGTCATTGCTATTCATAGGAAGTCAATTTGACTTTAAGTCGCTACTATTTATAGGGAGTCAATTTGATTTCAAGTCACTACTATTCATAGGGAGTCAATTTGATTTCAAATGACCACTATTCATAGGAAGTAAATTTGAGTTCCAGTCACTACTATTCATAGAGAGTCAATTTGACTTCAAGTCACCACTATTGTAGCGATACAGAGTCAATTTGACATATGTCACCACTCTAAACTTAAAGAAATTAACGTCGACTCGTATCAAGATTGAGCTGTAATTAATATATTTACCTATTTTCATCTTCCTTATAAAATTACTATTATCTATGCCTACTATGTTTAAGTACTCATTAAATATCTGTAGTTCTAGTGTTATGTATTAGACTCAAGTACTATCTTAAAGCATTGGAACATCGTGTCTAGTATGTAAAAAGCACAACTATACTTACGTGTGTAATATATTTTTCCTTTTCCATTTTTGAAGGGTGGGTTGGGAAGTAAAGAGATGGGATGGCGTTATGTGGTGGCTGACGAGTGTAGCTCGAGTAGTGTAGCTACAGAGGAGTGAGGTTGAATGAGGTGGAACTGGAGGGTGTATGGTGGTATAGGGTGTGAAGTGGCGTTGGGGTTAATGTGAGATGCAGTGAGATTTTATTTTTATTCCTTGTAGTATTTGCATATGTAAATATGCAGTTTACATATGCAGACCCAGACGTCAGAAGTGGGGATACTAGGACAGGTCGGGAACTTTATTTATAGGAAGCTGAGGGTTCACCGAGCACTTGGACCTCGGACCTTCTTGACTCCTTGAGTTCATCTAATATTAGTAAATTTGTAACTGTGGTCGTCACAACGAGATACGTCTGTGTCATTGCACAAACGACATTACGATACAAAATGATTGTCTGTGACCTTAAACGAATAGTATTGACGTCGCTACGTAACAATATTTGCGTACATATTTCTCATATTTTGACACGTTTTGTCGGAGAAACGGAACATCTGTGTTGAAATAAAATAATTGTTGCACGATGTGTACATGTGGACAACTGTTGGTTTCAGAGGAACGAGTGGTATAGACATTGATCTACGCAGGCTGGACATAGACCAGTGCCCTCTGCCACCAGGATCCACTCAACTGAACATTTTCGCAGCCAGTGACAAGTGTAAAAAGCGGACCACTGAGGTCAGTGAACTTTTAGTCCTTTATATGACTCCGTGATTTTTAGCCATTGTTTCGCGATACACCAGATGCGTGAAATCGCAATAATTTTTCCATGTATCGTGATTATTTTTGCGAAATTCAATAACGAATTATTTAACTGGTTATCACTAAATTAAAGAAAAGTTATATTGTTTAGCATGAATTAAAATTCTATTTATCTCTCTTTGTCACGTGGATAAAAAATATATTTCTTTTTAATTGTCAAAACTTATTGGGAAATATATTCGTGTGTCAAAGGATTTTAGAAATTAGTTTCTGTGTGTCGTGAAATCCAAAGGTTGAGAATCACTGGTTAAACTAGTAAATCATAAAATATCGTTCTAAAAAAGACTATTTCTTTTTTGAGGATATAGTCTACCTTAATCGTTTCTGGAAATTTATAATTTTCCTATTGGTAAAATATTTTTTAATTTCATTTTTAATTATCGCTTTGATCCTGCAAGATAGTCCATTCCCTTAGTAAATTTATCAAAATCTGTTGATAGAAAATATGTTGTTTTCATACTTTCTTTTACTGTTTCAATAATGAAATATGGGAATGAAATTCAAAAATTTCACTCTCTTGAAACAAGCAACAAGTAGCTTCCATTAGGTCCACTTGATCTCTACAATAAGGTTCCATTTAGAAATAACGTTTCATTCGTACAGAATCCTACTTTATATTCAAATTACTAATATTGCCATTTATGAACTGTTTTCTTTGTCAGCGTTTAATTGCCGTCTCCAATTGCAGTGCATCGCCATTCCAGGACTGGGATTTCGTCGCGGAAGCTACCGATGTATCTGCAAACGAGGCTTCTACTATCCGGACACCAAATCCACCAGTCGTTACTACAATGGCACCGTGATCGAGGAAGAGTACGAGAACTTGATGATGGTACGTCCTTTAATAAAATTAGCTAGAACTTTATAATATATATATAATATAACCTATATATAACCAACTGCCAGCCAAACATGCAATAACTGTCAACGAATGATTGAAACCATATAATTCAGAATATAGTACACAGTATACTGAATATAGACTCAGAACTATGACTTGAGATCTAACCCCTGAGAACTAACACTCATTAACATTCTCTTCAATATTTTTTACAATTATAAGAAACTATATATGTGCGCCATTTTAAGTATTCTTCGCAAGTATAGTCGAAAAATTTCTGTCAATAATATCGTGCAAACAATATGACACGCGTAGTAACAAGAAAGTTCCAAGATTATATGAGTAAAACTAGAAAATAATTCAATTATGTACGCAATATTTACGGTGCACTTGTCGGAGATATGGACCGTGGTGGCGCTAGTGAGTTAGGTGGAAGATCGTCTTAAGGCTGTCTTGAAACGTTTACTCCCTAAAGGGTTCAAAAATTGTCCTCTTCGTATTGACTTCTCGATCTTTAGACATTGGCTAATTTTCTCGTTAATATTTTACACGATTTTAAAGAGCTAGATACGTGTGCCATTTTAAAAAATAGTCCTCTCCATGCTAAATCTTCGGTCGCGTTAAAATCGTTGGAACTTTTCAGTGGCACTAGACAAGTTAAACAACTTTCTTATCGATAATCTGTCGGTGTAGTGCAGTGGCGAGTGAAAGTCGTGCACACGTGAGCACGTCGTTACTTCCATGTCACTGGACATTTTTCAAAAATAAATTGGCCCCTCGTCCCTCGAGAGTTCTTAGCCCGGTTAAACACCTCTGAATACCGGCAAACCGTGTCACGATGCTTTCTCTGTTGATCAAAAGCTCGAAAAACTCCGGAACTGCCTCGCGAGGGAGACAAACTGCGAAGAAATAAAATTCCTCCTTCCTTCTTGACTCTTTCTTGACGTCGCAAGTTCTAGATCTCTCCAGGTGTCTCTCAGTATTTGCTCGGCAGTTTGGTAGGAAACTGCTGGAGCTTGGAGAGGGGAAAAAGTTAGCAGTTAGAGTTGCCCAAATCTCAATTAGAGCTCAGGAAATCTGTGCCGCAGTAACGAAAGGAGAAAAAAGAAAATGGAGAAGGAAGATTCATCCGAGACCAGCTAATATCTAATATCATCGGTAAGGCTCTTAGACGTGGAGGAAATGGAGGTCAGGCCAGAAGACGTATCTGTACCAATAGGGTGTTTGGTCGAGGAGCATCTCTGTTAACCGATGTAAGAAGGTTACCAGACCTAACCTCATTATTCGAAACAGCCTATCTTTATTACAACCCACATACACTGTTGATCAAAAATTTAGGAATCACTTCCTCAGTTTTATCTGTACCACATCTAGAATTAATTTGAAAGTAGTTCCACATGCACCAACAGTAATTTTCTCCATTTAGATAAATCTGGGATGTATACTGTAAAATTGTCTGAGGTAGCAAGATCCTTAGGGTACTTTTCTTCTCAAATTTCTGGATTCCATGAAACAGGCTATGATTCCAAGTTTTTTGTCGACATTGTACCAATCACCAGCTCCCCTGTTCTCTTCATCCAATCTAGGGACCTAGCAAATCAGTCCTTGCATGACCTTTACCCGCGTGACAATCAGTCTGAGCAGGCTCTCCGCGTAAGAGCTAGGGGTCGGGGCCATTTTGGACTATGCTCGGGTTACCTTTGAGTTAGGTTCAGCATAAATTAGGTCCCGGTTGGTTCACGAGCCCACTCGCCAATCGTCACCTCTCGCATTCTCTAATTTCGAGAGTCAGCCGCTGTACAGCTACGATCCGCTTAACAATCAGCCTAGTCAGATCATCAGCGTTGAAGTAGGTGTCGGGATCGTTCGGAATGGCTCGTACCAAGGGCGTGTCTGGCGATTTCATTTCACCAGGGGCTAATAGAAAGTTCAATGTGAGTGAATCAAAGGAAGCAACGAGTGTTGTGTCCCGTATCACAGCGGGAACAAAGGGATCACCGATCGCGATTGTACGCGATATAGCGTTCGTTTTGGGCTACGGAATTGCCACGGGCAGCTCGTAATTGCTAATAAATGATCATGGAACACGCATCCGCACAAAAGGAGCCTCTTTCGTTTGAATTAATGTCCCCCTGCTAGTCGCCAAAGAGTTAAATCTCTCGATGTTACGCCGCGGAGAAATGGCAACTACAGTCTCGTTTGGTTGCAGGAGAAATGGCTGATTCTAATGAGCTGCACACGACGATAAACATAAACGCAGCCATTGCCGCGGGCGATATGAGAGAATGAAGGGATTTCTACCTGGATGGCTCGGTGAATCGTAATGTGCAGCGTTTTTGGCATTGAAAATGCTACTTCTGCGTGTTATTGCTATATATATCCTAATGCTGTATGATGTGCATTTGTAGTTTCGTGGGAATAATTATAGTTTGCAGTATAGGCATCACCAGTTCCAATTTGTCTTCCTTTTTTCAATCCTTATTCATAGTAATGAAGGTTCTGTTAAGTACTATTTTTGGATAAGTTGGGATTCGAGTAGTTCAGTTATAATTTCTTGCAACTAATTGAAATAAAGGACATTAATTATTACTATATTTTCTTCTTTTTGGAAAATTCTTTTCTTTATTATACTATCAATTATATATTTTTGGTGAACGTATTTTCAAAATGGTTGTTTATTCTTTATAATTATTCAAAAACACCGAGCTAATGGAAGTTAATGAGAGTCCGTTTTACTTCTTTATTATCAGCGTCCCATGATTCATAAACACTTAGATCACTCTAATATCATTTGAACTAAGCCCTAGGAAAAGTCTATAAATCACTAATAGTCCAAGGACATAAAGGCTCAAAGTTGTCTAAGTTTCTACTACCACAAATCATCAAGGCAAACACACCATGTTCAATCAAACACATTTATTCTTTCTGTTAGAGTCAAAACCAGAACATCAGGGCAAACACTCTATATTTAATCAAACACATACGGCCTTATACTATAGTTAAACAAAAATCTACGAAACTTTATTTGAACCAGCTTATATTTTTAAAGGACGTCGTTAAGCATCATCCAATTAATTTTCCCTGTAAAAAGGTCAACCGAAACTATGGTAACTATGTCGGTATTTATAGCACAGATTATAGTCCTGTTATTTGAAGTACAGTTAACGAAAATTTCTACATCTAACTATTTCTGAAAAATTCTTCGTCGTATAACAAAGTATTGCAACGTAGAAAATTCGTATTAAATTAAACCTCGGTAAATGCCAACTAACTTACATATCCTGTAAACAGTGGAAGCTTAAAGAATTAATTGAAAATTTTCCCACTGTTTTTCCTCCTAAAAGCTTTCATTAATTTTCCAATAATTAAGAGTTAATTTAAAAAAGAGCAACCAAAGAGGGAAAATTAATTGGCAATTAAGAATTTAAAAAAAAATTCTTCTTTATATCCTAACCCAGTTGCCGAGAATATTTCTGAAAATATTAAACATCGAAATCCCACATTTATACTCTCATTGAAACAATGAAAATTCCAGAAACGAAGGAAAAACTTTGTTCGAACATTGTACGGAAAAATTCGTGACGCGACGTAGTCGAATATAATTTCGTAGCTGTTTTAAATAAATTAACTCTGAGAATGGTAATTACACAGTCCTTTCAAAATTTCGAAACGAGGCTAATTGCAAATCGTACGTTTCGGGGTAGCCAAAGCTCGAGAACAGCACTTTCGCGTTGCACCGGGCGAAATCATACGTTCCCGTGGAATAATTAATTTTTATTTTACGTCTCTATCGAGAACGTCTTACGAAACGAGATTTCAAGGAGAAACTTTTCAACCACGTCCAGTGGTCGATCGTTATCGATGTTTAAATTATACGAAGGCAATCGCGGGATCGAGCTTGCACACCGTGACAGCGAAATCACGCGAGCTTCGAAAATTACTTCATACCCCTCGCGATACAAACCTCGGCCTGGTTCTATTCCTTTTCATATTTTCCATTAACCCGTCACGAACCGGTCGCACGTCACAAACGACGAGGGAAAAAATGACCCAATTCTTGTCACAAGCTTTACCTTTGAATGACTATCTAATCAGGCGGATGTCAGGTTCATGTTAAGCTTCAAACAATCGTTTCCCGCCGTCAAAACCAGATCACTCAGCCATTTCTGCCTTCCTCGAAAATCTCATCGAACGTTACCGCTATTTTTTTGATATTTCTTTTACGGGAAAAAGACAAAGAAAAAAAAAAGAAAATGTGATTAATACCACATTAATTGCCAGAGAAATACAACGAGGGAATGGGGAAAATGATCTTTTGATATCTATCGAAACAATTGACAAGAGGAGCTCAATCGTTCGATTTCCTCGATAGAAATTTTTATATGCGTCGGATAGAAAGGGGAAAAAATTTCTCTTGTGTACACTGTACCGTTCTTCAAACATTTACTGGGCCTATAGAGAGTGGACTATACAGCCGGGATGAGTTATATATAGTACACCTTTCTCGATTGCAACTAGGGAAAAATGTTGAAAGAGTAAAGGGAAAAAGCGAATGGATTAAAATGCATCGTATTTTTCTTTCCGAAATTTTACGGTCGCTGCGTTCTTTCGAATCGGATTCTTTGGTTATTCTACGCAGAAATGAATTAGAGTGACGTGGTCGGGGAACGATCGGTTCGTGAGATATTCGTTTAGAAATTGCAGCTACGGGTGTATCGCTCTTATCCCCTTCAGGGTCGAATTTATTAATCCTTATCCGCTGTAGCGAAATGCAGATGCGTTTAGTCCTTCCGGTGGACTCCTGTAATAGTCTGAAAAGAGAAATCTCGGTTTGACTTCAAAGGAAGTTTAGATTATGCAGAATTTAACGTTCCATGTATCAGAAACTGTAAACAACGGAAACTGCGGAATTTTTTTCTCATTGATGTATAAAAGAGGGTAGAAATTCAATAGCTGCTGTGTTGTAATTTAAAAAATTATATGTAACCTTG